TATTTTTTTAATTTTTTTCTTCATATTCTATAGGGACTTAAAGTTTAACATATCAATAATTGATGGAAGATATCTGTTCCATGTTATGCCTAAAATGTCTGATATTCAGACAGATAGGGAGGTTAAGCTCAACAAACTAGGTTGTAGGGTAATAACAATAAACTTGTCTTCTAGAGGTTAACTGCCTATGTTGTGAGGTAATAATAAGCTTCTCTTCTGGAGGGTTAACAACCTAAGTTTGCAGACCAAAAATTAGAGAAAAAGAGCTGCAAGGACAGCCAACATTTCGTCCCTAGCCTTTCAAGGTCAGTGGATACTCAGGACATAGGATAAGCTGTATTGTAACATGTAACTCAGTTGTGTCCCAAATTTTTTGATCAAGAAGATTATGGAGCTACAGAAGAAAGTGATCAATGATGTACCATGTGCCTAAGGAGAGTCACATGGAGAGAAAACATTTTCTCTGGCTTTCACAGAGAGCACATTGGCCAAGCAATGGCTGTGACCCATCCACATGGCTAACACTGACAAAGGATCTATAAACTGCGGTAAAGGGTTTCAGGATAAATCCTGAGGGGATTTGACTGATCTTGTCAGATACAAAAGTTACATTTCTTGTTATATAGATTTTGCTTTATCTTGGTCTTATCCATCAAGCAGAAAAGTATAAGAATGAAGTATAAAAATTAAAGCCATATTAATATGCTGAGCTGTAAAAGGCTCAGGTCAATAACTTCTGACATTGCCAGTCCTACAGAAAACCCACTACTATTATGGAATACTGGACTATATTTTGTTGAATTCACACACCTACAATATTTAAATGCCAATGGAATACCCTTATCTGACAAAACTAAACAAAACATGGGGATACAAATGAAGAATGATTTTGTATCTGTATATTCAAAATAGTATAAATATACAGCTACATTCTCTTAATTCAATGAATAGAAAGATTTGTTATAATAGTGTTTGTGGATAGGATATCATGTCTGCATCTTGTACAATGAATATCGACTAAGATAACAATATGCAATGTATTAATTATTGAAATTGTCCTACCAATCAGTTTTGAAACTGTTGCATTGCTATTTGTTTCTCAATAAAGTTATTTTAAAATATAAAAAAGAAAGAATACTGAATTTTATTCAGTGCTTCTTGAACCAGTCAGGATAATCATATATTTTTTTCCTTCATTTTATTAATATGGCATATCACATTAACTGATTTTCATATGCTGGGCCATTGTTACATCTCAGGAATAAGTCCCAATTTAAAATGCTGTGTAACCTTTTTAACATGCGGTTGCATTTGGTTTGCTGGTATTTCACTGAGGATTTTTGCCTGCTTGTCAGAAGTATTGAGCTATAATTTTCCTGAGTGTATGAATTGGTATTAAAGTTATGCAAACCTCATAAAATGTATTAGGAAATATTTCCTCCTCTTCAGTGTCTTAGAAGTATTTGAGAATGAATGTTATTAATTTTTTATTAAATGTTTCATAAAATTCTTCCAAGATGCCATCTGTTCCTGACCTTTTCTTTGACAAACAATGTTCAATAACTGAGTCTCTCTCCCTTCACTTGTCATGGTCTGTTCATATTTTGCATTTCTTTATAATTTAATCTTGATGTATTTCATGCTTCTAAGTATGACTATTTCTTCTAGATTATTTATCTTGTAGGCATCTAATTATTTATAGTTGTATTTTATAATGCTTTGTATTCTTTGCTATTCATTACAATGTCCTCTATTCCATTTCTCATTTTATGAGTCTTCCCTCCTTTTTAGCTGGTTGCTTGAGCTCAGAGTTTGCCAACTTAGCTTATCTATTCAAATAAAGAAACTCTTGGTTTTCTTTTTTTAAAAAAAAGGAGGGGAGGATGCAAATGAATGACCATTTTGTATCTGTATATTCAAAATAGTTAGGATAGATATACAGCTACTTTCTCTTAATTTAATGAGAAGAAAGATTTGTACTACTAGTATTTAGATAGGACATCATGCCTGCATCTTTTACTATGAATAACCACTAAGACAACAATATGCAGTGTATTTATTATTGAAACTACTCTACTAATCGGTTTTGAAACTCTCTCATTGCTCTTTGTTTCTCAATAAAATTATTTTTAAAAATAAATAATAAATAAATAAATGAAAATTGAAGAAATTTCAGCATTAGCAAATCCATCAGGATATAGATAGAATTGTTCCAAGTTTGAAGAGGGAGAAAGAAAGTAAAGTCCCTGAGTAAAATGTGATAGCTAAAAAAGTGCGGTGTTCCTTTGGCAAGTTAGAAAAATTATTTATAATAACCTTGTATTGATGCTTGTAAATTTTTCATTCGTATGTACTGTTCTACAATAGACACTGCACTTTTAATTGGTGAGGTCATTGCTACTTGAAAAATTAAAATAAATGTGTTAAAATTCAATAAATTTAGTTACAAAATGATAAAACACTATAACTATTATATAAGATGTTATATATAAATCTTTGATTGCAGGAAAAAGTCAAAATGAAAAATACAGAGGACATTATCATTCTATTTAAACAAAGGAAGAAAAATTACTGTCTAGAGGATGAACAGCAAGGACAGGTAAAGTCTCCCCCGTGCGCAGTGCATCTGCTCTGTTTGGGGACCCAGGAAGGTCTGCCTCCTGGGCATCCTGATCATGCTGGAGGCTCTATTGTGGTCCTCAGAAACCTGTGAGGACCTGAGGCACCCTATCAGTGCAGAGCATGGCTTGTTGGACCTGCTCATGTTAAAGAGATGTTTCTGTCTATGCTCAGACTGACTGCTTCTTACTATGGATTCCAAATTCCTATCAGAATTCACCAGGTTAGCTGAGACACCCTGTATCTAGGCCTGATGACCAAAGCAGAATAATTTTAGGAGAAGTGTGAGGTCGAGTTTTACACAGTGGACAATGTTCCGATGCTTAAACAAGTGTGTATAACAAGAGGCATCAGATACAAATGAACAACCATTTTGTATCTGCATATTCAAAATAAGATAGATACACAGCTACGTTCTCTTAATTAAATGAATGGAAAGATTTGTTCTAATAGTGTTTGTGTATAGGATATCGTGTCTGCATCTTGTACAATGAATAACAACTAAGACAAGAACATGCAATGTATTAATTATTGAACCTGCCCTACTAATTGGTTTTGAAACTGTCTCATTGTTATTTGTCTCTAAATAAAATTATTTTAAAAAAAAAAACAAGAGGCATCAGAGGTAAGAACAGATATATAAACTAGGAGTATCTGGGAGTAAGTATTAAGTTGAAAAGAAGTCTCATATTCTAAGGAAAGCAGCTCTCAAATCAGTTTTTTAATTTTTGTTTGTTTGTTTCTTTTTGTTTTTGTTTTTTTCCTCACACGACGTGCCTGGGTTTTGGTTCCGAGAGTTCCCACAGGCGGGTGCTTGGGAGTCGGAAGCTCTCCCACACTCTCCACTGGCCTGTGCTTGGGCTGGATTTCTCAATTCAGTTTTCCAAGACTAGAAAACTAGTATTGATTCTCGTGTTTTCCCAGCGCCCCCTGCTGGCTTTGAGAGACCCTGCAGGGAGGTTTGGGTCTGGGCTCCACACTGACCTCCACTCACTGTGTCTCTCTCGCACAGTAATACATGGCCGTGTCCTCGGTTTTCAGTTCCGTTATTTGCAGATACACCGTGTTCTTGGAATTGTCTCTGGAGATGGTGAATCGGTCCTTCACAGAGTCTGCGTAGTATACGGTGGCACCATCGTACCTAATGTCTATGATCCACTCCAGCCCCTGCCCTGGAACCTGGCGGATCCAGCTCATCCAGTAGTCACTGAAAGTGAATCCAGAGGCTGCACAGGAGAGTGTCAGGGATCCGTCAGTCTGCACCAAGCCTCCCCCAGACTCCACCAGCTGCTCCTCACACTGGACACCTGCAAACACAGAGACGTCTTGCTCAGGGAACTGTCACACAAGCCCGCTGTTCATCTCATTCATGTCCACTCACAGGCTCAGTATCAATTGTTCAATATATTCACCTTTCAAAACAGCAACAAGGAAAACCCAATTCAGCCAGAGCTCCATGAAGAGTCGTGGGTGCTCAGGCCTGATCCACACAGGGGAATACCTGGGCTTCCAGAGCTGGGCTCCCCTGAAGAGCTGCAGTCCGGGAGGAGCTGGGCAGGTTTTCATGAGCAGAGCAAGGCCCTATTTGCATGGCTTCCTGCTATATAGACAACTGCCTTTTGGCAGCCTCAGATAGAGATGGCTCCAGAACACATGAGAATGTCCTAGAAAATATATTGTGACATTCATAATAAGCAGTATATGATTTCTCAGTATATGCATTAGCTGTGTTTAACACTTAACCTCATTAGTTTTCTCATAGGTACAAATGTAGCAAGGGAGATAGCTCAGTAGAATAAGCGCTTGCCTGGCAAGATCAAGGGCCTGAGTTCAATCCCCAGTTCTGCCAAAAAAAAAAAAGAATTAGGTACAAATGTATATAAAGATGGATTTTTTCATTTCCTAAGATTTACAAGTGTGTACCAAGTGCAGCAAGTATAATGGACCTATATGATATGAGCTCACATATGATAATTCCATCTCATGAATTTGGCCTATATCCTTCCACAGTATTTACCTGATTTGTGAGCAATTCAGGACAGAGTTAGCATGACTAGTAATGTTCTCCAGACTTCTTACTCTAATGAGACTACTTGACATAATTTTCAGCATTCTGAAGATACTCTAATTATACACTCAGGATACTTCAAGCTTATGTTCGAGTTGGATATATCTGGTTTTGTTATCTGTCTCTGCATTAATATTTCCATACTAAATTATTTATTTTATATACAATAATTGTGATGAGAAAATGAGGTACATTTTAACACAAATATTCATTTATTAAATACTGAAGTAATTGTTCCCATGGTCATGTAAGGCAATGAAGATTTACCCATATATTCTAGAGTTTTCTGAAAATTCTCTTTCCTGGGTATGGAGATAGCTCAGTACTCTAAGAGCTTGCCTGGCAAGCACAAGGACCTGGATTTGCTCTCTGGCACTGCATAAAGTACTGGCCACTGAAACCGGGCATGGTGGTACAAGTCTGTAATCCTAGTTCTGAGAAGCCTCAGACACGAGGATCACTACAAATCCTGCTTAGTGAAAACTGTACCAAATAAAAAAAAATAGTTAAATAAATAATAGATTAAAGCAATTCTCTTTCCTGTCTATTTATTCCACGCTTTCCTCAACTGCAACATACATTTTTGCTTGAGACAATCCATTCTCAAGATAAGAGTAGAAGATTAATTTTTGATGAAGGTTATGATTCTGATGCTGAATATCCCAAAGCACATACAACCTTAAAACTCAATCTTCCTTCCCATATATGAATTGTGTGATTTTTCCTACCACTGAAGTAAATGTGAAGGAGATAATGAAACAGAGAATAAGTAAATATATATGTATTCCATCTGAACACCCGATAAAACACTCACATGCCTTGGAGTTTTGCCCCTATCAAATGGTCTTCAAAGGATGTATTGATGGTCTGGTCACTTTGCACAATACTCCGACAGAGAGGAAGACTCCAGATCTTTACAGAAAGGGTCTACTCCCAAGCTTCCAACAGTACCTGCTAATGAAGCCCTCATTTCTTTTCTCTGGATCACCAGTGTCACCTTTGCTAGTCCAGAGCTTTTCCTCCTGTTTCTGAATATTCTTCTCTTTTATCTTGAGCATGCCCTCCAGGTTCTGGGCATTGCTGTAAAGATTTTTGTGTTTGGACTTGCTCTGATGTGTCCCCACAAATCTCTTTCCCAGTTGTGTCCTCCATTGTTGCTGAGCAGAGATGAAAGTAAAGTTAGTTGTTGGCTGTGTCTTAGGAGATAGTGAGTTGACTGTCAAGGAGGAATCATCAGCTATGCCTTGTTCACAGTCATCCTATGCTGTCCATTCAATCGCCATTCCCTAGAGTATGATGGGTACAGATCCAAGAGCAGTCTCTAGTGATGCAATACTGAGAAAATGCACCACTGAGGGTCAAGCCGAATCCCATTTCTTGCAGCTGCACATAGGAAACCAAGTTTGGGACAGAACACAGCGAGTTGTGAACTCAGAGGTACCATCCCCACATTTTCCTGTCTGAGCCCTGGGACATTCAAGTCTGGGAGCTACCACCAGATAAAGAAGGAGACAGTATTAATCTCTTTTCTTTCATATTAACTGTACAAATCTCAGAATGTATCCTCAAATATGAGGAAGAATCTCAATTGAAACAAATGGGGGAAGCAGGACACATACTGGAAGCAGAAATAACCATGCATGTGATCTCACCACAGGCAATCAGTGGTGTCCAACACAGCTATGATGCCCACTGATGCTCTTTGTCTACACTGGCCAAAAAACACTGGTAAATCCTCATCTGATCAACTGTGGCCCCATAAGGCCTTTGCTTGGCTGCCCTGATAGGAGCACAACTGAAATAAGGGCAGGTTTCTGTCACTCAGCCCAAAGGTAACACACTTTATGGACTAATTTCTATGCTGTGATTTCTTTTTTGTTATGCTGAACCCAAATTTATTGAAGCTTGATTTGGGACAATGAGTAGATCTTTCAGTAAAAACATACAGTACAAACAAAAAGTGTCAGCATACACAGCTGTTGAACTACAATAATAATGTACCTTAATTACTTCCACACACACAAGTCTAACATTACACCATTTAAAATAATGAACACAATTAAAACTTCTAGGTGTATTTAATAATAAAGTAGTTCCAAATATTTCCTTTGTAGATAGGTCAAGCACTTCAAAAATACAAATCCCTATACACAACGAATATGCCATTTCAAACAAACCTTTCAGCATATGGAGATAGGCTTGGGAAAAGCCAACAGAAAACTTTAACTACAGAGAAAACAAACCATAGTGCTAAATGTATACAGTGTAGATTGAATGCAGTGTTTTCTGAAAATCCCTTTTATTCATATCATTTCACAAATAGACCCAACCTAGCCAACATAGCCCAATCTGAATATTCTCAATTATTATCTGTGTGTGTGTGTGTGTGTGTGTGTGTGTGCGCGCGTATTTTAGGGAAGGGTCTACAGGGTGTTCAGGGTCTCACTACTAGATCAGATTCATAGTGATCTGCCTGTTTACAGCCTCCCAAGAGCTGGGATAACAAGCACGTGCCACCACACCCAGTCTCAATTACATTCTCAGCATGCCCCGAGGGCAGGACCGGCCCAGCAGGCCAAGGGATTGAACCCCCGGCCCCTGTGCCTGCTTGCAGGTGCTTGAATCTGCTGAGCTATTTGCCCGGCCCTCAATTATTATCTTTATTGAAAATTGTTTGAGTTCATTAGTACATATTTATAGTACATCATTATTGTATTCACCACAGGCATTTGGTACATGTGTGCTCTTCATCTTAAGGGCATTTTATCCCCAATCCCTCACCTCCCCAAGTTAAATAATAATAAGGATATCTCAATTCACATAATGATACAGCCAAGATGAAGATATAGGTGTGTGCAAAGAATTCATGACCAAAACCCAGACCCAAGAAGACATGTTACAAAAATTCTAAAAATGGGATACCACCTTATTAAAAAGCTTACAAAAGAAACTGCCAACAGAGTGAAAAGACAACCCACAGAATGGGCAAAATTTTATCTTCTTTTCACTCAGACAAAATATATCTAGGACATTGTGCTGGTTGACACATTGTGTCAACTTGAGAAATTTAGAAGTTTAATTAAGTTATTCAGCAGAGATCCAGAGTTCTTACTTTATGAAAATCCTCATGTGTATTGTAGATCTCCCTATGAGAGGAGTAAATTTAATGCTTACACTATTAAGAATGGGAAAGGATGTTTGGGTGCTAAGAATGTCTTTACACAAATGGACTGCACTGCAATAAACAGACAATAACGTGCAAAATCTGAGAAAATATGTGTGCTCTTGTAGCTATAGGAGTCTTCTGTAAGTGACAAAACACTGCATCTTACTACTTTAATGGATTCAACCACTCTGTGTAGAATTTATTTATAATCCAAGGGGCGACTAAAAAATAAATTATCGCTTTCCATTTTCTTCATTCTGATCTTTCTGATACTATGTAGTTCTTTTCCCTCTTTCTCTGCAGTTTGTAATTCATTATTTTTTTGTAGAGAACTATGATAATCTTTTCTCTATCATTTATCAGAGATTGTTTATCTCTGTCATTGCTGGACTTTACTTGAGACGAACTATAGTAATTAGACACAAATTTATGTGTTAGGAAAACTATACTTATATAAAATTTAAGCATTGTTTATTTGCTATAATATGACATTTTCATTTCCTCTGGAAAAATTCCCAATAGAGGGACAGTTGCCTTGAATGGGATTTCCAGTCCTAGTTTTTTAAGGAGTCTCCACACTGATTTCCATAACGGTTGCACCAGTCTACATTCCCACCAGCAGAGGAGAAGGGTTCCTTTTTCCCCACAGCCTCTCCAACATTTGATGTTGGTTGATTTCTTTATGATAGCCATTCTTTCTGGGGTGAGGTGGTATCTCAGTGTTGTTTTAATTTGCATTTAATGGATGGCTAGTGATATGGAGAAGTCTTTTCATATATTTATTCGCTTCTTTAATTTCGTCCTCTGAAAAGTGTGTGTTCACCTTGGATGCCCATTTCTGGACTGGGTCTTTAAATTTAGGGGCCCAAATGTTTTTCAGTTCTTTTTTTTTCTTTTCTTTTCAAAGTTTTATTGATAAACATATAGCAATGAGACAGTTTCAAATCAAATCGAAAGTACAGTTTCAACAAATAATACACTGCATATATTCT